CATGTAAAATTTTTTAAGTAAAATTCTTTTTCTATTATACGAGTTAATAAAATGGCGTTCGTCAAACAACCTTTTCAGTGCTCAAAAAGGAACGAAAAAAACAGCGGGTATTGTTGCAACAAAAAAGTGCCGAATGAGGCAGCTGTTCTTGCGAAATAAAAACTAATCTTCATCTTTTGCATGAAGTCGGCTCCTTAAAACTCATTCACGAAGTAATGAATTTTTACCGAAATTTTATTAGTGAATATAGTCAGTAATTCTTTTGAACCGCAAGAATGAACGAAGGGCAGGCCAAGCGACAGTCAAACGTACCGTTCAATTTGAATTAAGCTTGAAGGATTAACTAATCGGAATAGGAGAAAAACACGGAATTCTTTTTAGGTAGATCAGAGCGAGCAGCATGTAAGACATTTCTTCCAGTACCTTTGAATAATTTGCGTTATAAAAGTAATTTTTATATAATAAATCTCGATGGAGTGAACTAAAACCTTTTCATTATCTCTAATGTAAACTTACATCGTTACTTGTTTCATCGTTACTCCATCCATCTTTGTCCTCTTTTACTACTGAACAACACTTTTGCTAAAGTGTTATCCTCCCTTTTATTTTGTAAAATTTCAATAATTTCGATAAATCTGTTTGACAGCTTAAAACGGCACTCGTTATCAGGGTTCTTAAATGTCCCCCATTGAGGAGAACAGTTCCCCCTTCGACCATTTTGTCCTCCACTAAATAAATCCCCCACGGGGGACACATTTCGTCCTCCACTGGCAATTTATTTGAAGTCCTACTACTTCAGCGTCATATTTGAGAGGAAAAGATTGGCGGATTATTATGTAATATGCAAGGATCTATACCCTCTTTAGTATATCTTGTCATAAAGATCATTATCATATAGGTGTTGGAATAGTTTGTGACAAATAGAGTTATTCTGAGTTTCGAGCTATCCTCAAAAACATCACTCTTCCTGTCGTGCGAGTCTCAGGGTTTATTAGACGTGTGATATGAACTGGTCGATAAAATCTAATTGAAAGGAAAAATCTATTGTTTGAAATTTGAAAAATTAGCTTTGAAAGAATGAACTCTAAATTAGAACTATAAAAAGAAACGACAATGTAATTCTAATGATAAATGGTTAAAAAATTTCACAATATTGATTTTAATTTATTCGCAATATGTGACTTTAGTTGAGCTCATCCAGTATGTTAGATTGACATGACGTTATTTCGTTAAAATAAGCACACGATGCTCTTCATGAAGCACCAAAAATTTTTTCAAAACCAATCGTTTTAGTGTATCATTATTAGACTTCTTTCAAAGTAGAATAATACTGGAATAATACAGGTCTGTACTTCGCAGGATTCAAAAGAACAATGTATTAATTTGGTTTCATTGTAGGTTATTCACCTTTTTCTTCGTCGCATCTTCCATATAACACTCCATTTTCTCAATCAGCCCTTAATACATTTTACTCTCATCATCTTCATTCTCATGCGTCTAACACTGCTACTGGTCCATCATTCACTACCATCACTATTAATACTATTCCAAAATGCTTTAAATGTCATTATCAATCCTATACTCTCATATCTTGTACGTCGTGTACAAGACATATCTGCTATAGTTGCATTAAATTCAATAATTCTAATACATACTCATGTATATTTTGTATAGTCAAAAAATCAATCTTGCTGTTAGAAGATTTCTGAAAATATTCTGTCAAATTCATTGTTTCAATCAATTTAAAAATAAATTTGCTTTTATGACTGCTTAATCAATGACTAACATTTAGACTATTCAAACCTTGTTGGAACTTCTACGAAAGAAGTCTAATAGTGATACACTAAAACGATTGGTTTTGAAAAAATTTTTAGTGCATCATGAAGAGCATCGCGTGCTGTGTATGAATGGTTCAACTTTTTCTTCATGTCATTGCTAATTAACCTTCTAAGTTGATTATAAGATCAATGAAGACGGTAAAATATTTCTGGAATATCGTTAAAATTCTTTCCAAGCATAGAATGCGTTCAAGGGGGGCTCTTTTCGCTCAAGTTTCACATCGTATGATAGATTAAAGTATTCTGTATAAATTTATCACTGGGTCTAGTGCAAAAATGCGGTTCTGGAAGTCGATGGAAACGGATTTCCATCTATACTGTGCAATTTGAGCGAAGTGACCGGAATTACCCCAAAGCACATATCTCTAAAAAATGACTATGTCTTTTGATTTCTCTAAATTGGAATTAACTAATTAATGGTAAGTATGACCGCAGTGCAAATTAGACAGGTGGATAGAACTCACAATTCTGCATATGATGGTCTAATTTTTTATTACAAAGGTGAAAGTTCACCGTTGAAAAAATTGGTTTAGTTTTGTACCAGCCATTTTGGCTGTGTTGATCGGAATTACCCCAACGGCAACCGTTCACTGACCGGAATTATCCCAAATGGGGTAATTCCAGTCAACTGGAAATTGATCAGAACTAGTTATCTCTAATGAATTTTAACATGATTTTTGCATCAGTCGATAGCTAAGAGTCAGATCTATCTACCTGTATAAAACTGTTTTTTTCTGGTTAAAAATGACTTAGCTATGAGCAAAATACTGAACAGATTTCTGACATTGACCGGAATTGCTCCGAGGCACTCTATGTTGATACATACGCTATATCTCATTCTATTCTTCAATCATTTACTTCATCTCTTAGATATAAACATATACTAAATAAAAGAGATGTCTGATCGTTTAATACAACTAGAAAACGTCGTTAATCAATTACACGATCACTTATGTAATGCCACAGGTGTTTTAAAGAATACCGTTCGTCCAGGTCCATTCTGGAATTTTGATCGTAGTGGTTTACCCGGACGAAATCAATTGCCACCGGAAAATATCTGTGGCTAGTTAGTTTACTAAACTCAGTCTTTCGATCCTCGTTATTTGTCTGATGCGAGTGTTAATTTTTCAAGAGAACGCAATATAATCAAAGACGATAGCGTCAAACAAAAGGTATCTAACTCATAAAATATTGTTTTTTGTGTTATCAACCTGTAGAGCGTAAAAAAGACCCTTCAAGGTATCTTTTGGACTTGAAATTACTAGTTTTAACAGCTCTTGGTGTTAGGATAGAACGAGATCATGTATATTGGAACAATAATGTTCCGTTTGATAGGTATTCATATTTTTGTAGTGAAAATGAGAAAAAAAATCCTGTCAGCTTTTGCTATAACCTAGCCCTAGGTAAAGATTGTATAATGATGCACATTGCTGTCATTTTAACGGCAACATGAAACATTCAATCGAAGTATATGCTCCTTTAGATTTTATACTTGTTTTTGCTATAAAATTCGATTATTGAGTTCATAGACGACGAAATTGTTACTAATCATAGACATTGTGACCTCCAATTTACATTTAAAAATTACAACTCTTAACCCTTTTTTATTATGGAACAAAGTGGATAAATACCGATTAAAATGTCTCGTTAGATTTTTTCCCGATAATGTCACACAAATTCAGTCACATCAAAACGATAATTACACTTATTTAACAGTGTGAAAAATGCTTTGCACAACACATCTGATCGAACTAAATTGAGAATGCAGTTCTCGAAATCTTAAACAAGTTTGAAATTATACACGTCAGCATCATTTTTATTCATTGAACCATTGTTTTGGTAGGCAGGCAAAGGGCTTGTTTCAACTCGTACGATCCTGAGCACACGAAAAAATCTACTGAAAGACAACTTATCCCATGTTTTGAAACATAATTTTCTGGAAAAATTGATATTTATGGGATGTTGTTTGCTTTTTTCACTAGGGAAAAGGGATTTTAAAATTATTGTGTATGCTTTAATTGAATTTTCATGTATCTTACAGCGTTAGTCGCTATAAGTATAGGTCATATATCCTGATAAAATCTCAGAAATGTCTACAGATGACGAATTTTGAACTATGAGGTAAATTGAAAACACTTTAATAAAAATTGTAAATATGGATAGATTCCGACTAAACTCTAGGTTCATCTATAATGTTCTTACATTTCTTGATTAAAATACTTTCTAATAAGTATATCAAAGGTCAGCGGGCACAAAGCATAACCCTTTTAAATTTAAATTAAAACTGTTTCAACATTTGTTTATGTTGAGCAGTGATAGGCAGAAAACTATTAAATTTTCTTAGTTCTGACTGATACAATTAATTACAATCAAATGAACAGTCAAAAAGGTCAACATCAAGCGGCTATTTGGCTTAGCATGCTTCCATACTATTATGGTATTAACTTACATGTTCTTCTAATAGAAAAACCTTCAGAATTTATTCTTCTCATAGTACATTTTCTTTTGTTTATCCTAGAATCAAGATAGTTAATATATATATCTTTGTAATGAAACATCATATAAAACTATCAATCTGTCAGAATAGCACTGCTTTCAAATACTTCAAATATGTTACATTCACGTGCAGTGCTGACTGCTGATTCACTCACGTACACGTGCTGCTGATTTGCTAGACAACCGGAGAAATGAATTTTGCATTTTTAGTATTAACCAAGCACCATATGCCATGCGAACTTGCTATGAGTTAAAAATTTGTTTAAATTATTCACCTAGAGGATAAAGATATTCAAAAAGATTATTATAAAAGAACAAAGTTAGGAAATAATCACACATCTTCGTTCGCCTATTCATTCCGATTATCTAGGTATTCTGTGGTTTATAAATATAGTATTTAATGACATATTCATGCTGTTACATTTATCTTTTAATCATTAAATATCTAATGCACTTATGGTTTTACATCTGTTAAACGAGTGAAACAACTGTGACAGTGTTGGGCTTTTACTTTATTTCTTGTATGTTCAAACTATGACTTTTCTAGTAGTGGTCAACATCAGAAGAGGATAATGCATACAAATATATTAATCAAAGCGAATTTTATTTTTCACATTATGGCAAAAAAACAGAAAAACTATACACGAAGTTTTCATATATGTTCGCTTACATTACTCGTTTTTTTGTTCGAATTAGAGCTGGAAACGCAATTGTAAATGGTCGATTTGATTTTCGTTTATCTGCTTGTTGTTCTTGTCTGTTAAGTCGTCGGTATAAATCAAATGGATTTTCGAATAGGGATCGACGTAAAATTTCAACATTTTCTTGACTATCACCTTCACCATCATTTTCTAAATTGACAAATTCTTGTCGTTCAAATTGTGCCGATATTGTTGAGCGAAATAATGCAATTGATAAAATAAACAGAAATACTAGTTTGATAAAGGCATTCATTTCGATAGTTTTACTGCTGGAGAAGAGTCGACGTTGTTTCGTTTGAGAAAAAAGTTTTAAAAAGCTTTCAATATTTTTTATTTATTAGATAAAATAGCCAACAGTGACTAGTAAAATAAAATTTCCGATCTGTCAAAATTTAACTTATGAATACTTTACCTAACAGATAATTTCCTCAATATAATGAAAATAATTAGCTTTAAAGTTTGATGGAGTATTCGACGGCTAATATATCTTTCTATGTCTGTTCAAGTAGTTATTGAATATCGTAATATATTCTTAGTTGCATAATTTAATAATACTGCCAGTAATAAAGTTTTGAAGAGTTTCCTATTTCACTCGCTCTCACAGAAAACCAACGAGACATATAATAATCAAATAATAGTGAAGCTAATATTCAGAAGTAAAATAGACTCGTTTGTCTTGTGAATTTTTTAACACTCTTTATGTTCAGTAATAGTTAGACTTAGAAATACTCAACAGAAAACATTTCCAAGCGTAAATTTCTTTCTTTAATAAAGTATAGATTTTTATAGGAATTTTTGGTAGAAATGACAAATTTGCTATCCATTCTGGGTGCTGAGCTTTTCTTGCAGTATCTTCTAAAACTGAGTTCTTTGAAAACCTATCACGAATTCTCAAACTAACCATTTTCCAAGACTGACAATTTGGAAAGAATATCAAGTTACATATTTGCTTAAATGATTAGAACTAACTAAAAAATTTTCGTTCATGGACATTAAACGTTCACACCCTTAACTTGACCAAAGACCTGTACATATCTCGACGATTGATTTAAAAAGTCCCAGGTGAACATCCAGACGTCACAAACTGCTATCCAAACATGAGTTATGAAATAAGGAATGAAAAACATCTTGCTTAGGGGAGATCTAAACAGAGGTGCAGAATCTACTCGTGAGATTGGGAAATTTCCCTCAACGGAAAACGTTTATAAAAAATTTCCCAACATAATGCACGAACAGAATTTCTTCAAAAAGACATTCTAATTTTCAGAAAATTTCTCCAAATCAATAAGTTTTTCCTCGACGGCCGACGGAGTAAACAGGCAAATTCTGCAATTCTGGATCTAAAACTAATCTTGACTAGTGACCATTAACTAGATAAGGTTGAGAACTAGAAAATTTTTATTAAGATAAGTTATTGTGTACAGGAATCATGTACTCTACACATCTCTAGTTTCAGTTTCCAGAAAAGGACAAATAATTTTTCATGGAATTTTGGAGCGTTTGCCACTTCATTTTCGTGAATTTCTCAGTAAGCACGTGTTTGTTTCCGAAAAGTTATCGATAACCTTTGGGGATATACAAATGGTGGAGAGATTTTTTGCGGAATAAGTTGCTTATGATACTCACTGGAGCTGCTGACACATGTTCACAGAATATTGTGTCGCATACGTCCAAAATGTTTTTAACGAACAGTAAACAAAGTTGAAAGAAGCCACCATCACACTTGATTCATGTAAAATGCCACTATTATGCACAGAAATTGTAAAGATCAGTAGAAGCGAGATTTCTAATGTACGAAATTTAAAATAAAATATACTGGATTCTTCTTCTGAAATTCTGTCAATAACAAATACACTTTTCTTCTCGTTTTATTCTACAAAAAAAAAGATTTTTTATAATAATTACCTTTAAAACAGAATCAATTAGTACCAACAGATGTAGATTTTATTGATATGTTCTTTTTTAAATAAGCATGTACCGTTCTTTTGTAGCATTCAAAGTCTTGGATGCTACAAAAACATCATTTGCTCAGCACTTGATCCAAATAAAATGTCATTTTTATTTCCTAAATAATTTTCTATTTGCTATTCAAACACGCTATGAAAAAGTACAGAAACGTATTTGTTTTTGAGACACAAAACCAAATTTTTGGACTGAGTTTTACTATATTGAAAACCGACTACAAAATATGCCTAATTATATATTTTAGGCGCACTTTCATGCCAATGAAAACATTTCAACTTCGTCATTCGGTTAGAAAAGAGGTCAGTCCTTAGAAAGAAGTGCATTTTGTAGAGCTTTAAATTCTGCATCTGTTTACATAAAAAGGATAATTTTTGTAAGACCAAGTTATGAGAAAATTGCTAAAGAAAAAAGTAGACTGCCGTGGTCCGTGAACGTCTTTTTGATGTTTTGTGTAGTTTTCGAAGAAGAAGTAACTAAGCTTATCAAACCCAACACACCACGAGATGCAACGAAAAATTCTATATCTCTTACTACAAGAAAGGTATTTTTTAACTCCACCTAGCTGGGAAAAATTGTTTTTTACACGTTTCCGATTTTGTAGTTGAGCTAGTGATATTTTTGTGGCATCCAAGACTTTGAATGCTTCAAAAGAACGGTAGATGCTTATTTAAAAAAGAACATATCAATAAAATCTATACAAAATTCTCTATCTTTTAGCATCAGAACCAAACTTTCTGGTCGAGTCTAACTTGAGAAAAAAGTCTATCAAAAACCCGTAATTTAATCTGGAACACGCGTTAGTATACTATTAGTATTACTATGTTTACTACACAACCATTCATCAAGTTCTTCTAGTCAATGTAATACTGGACTTGATGTACAGAAAAGAAGATCATAAAGTAGTTTTAAACAAATTTTAGAAATTATTAAGCATTGGATTCTCAAAATATCACCCAGAACACATAAAAATTTTATAATATGTTGAAGAAATAGAGCTGTTCAAAACAAATTTTTTCAAACGAACTGTATTTTATTTAAGAAGAATTACGTCTGCAAAGATAGAAGTTTAATTCAAATTCCAAATTTCGCTTGCTTTATACATGATTTAACATGCTGAGTAATTTCATCTTCATTTTAACACACACAATACTGAAGAAGTATATTACCATTAATTGTTAGTATCAAACATTGTATCTATCATCGTTTTATTAAACAATTTACGATTTTTTGTTTCCGTTCGGTTTATTTCAGCATAATCTAATAAAAAATTTGGCTCATCAAAAACATGTTTTTTTTAAGTGAACGAAAAGCACACTATAAGAGAACCGTAAGCAACAAAAAACAAACAAACAGTAAATAGATATAAAAATACACGGCAACAATAAGAAAAAAACGAAAATGAATATGATTAGTGCACATTGTTCGAATTTTTATTTCTAAACAATAACAAGCTCTCTCTCTCCATAAATATATATGTGTGCAGGTGTATGTGTATGTTTATGAGAAATGTATCAAATACATTAGAAAAAAGAAATAATAGAAGCTAAAATCATCCTGTGTGTATCTTCCTTTTGAATAACAAACAAGCAAACAAATGAGAGAGCGAGAGAGAGAGAGAGTAAAATTATGTACAGATGCAAACAAAAATTAAATATGTTGTTCACGAAATAGGTGAGAAGAAAGCATTTCCCCCTTAATGCACGCGTATGCAAAAAACGAAAATATAGAAATAAAAAAGCGTAGTGTTTCTGCGATTTTAATTGATTAAAATGAGCTCGTCATTCAATAATTTCAACATAATTTGATGGTAATAAACCTTTAATTTTTGTTTCATTATGTTTGCCAACCATCCAGCCAGCATCAATTTCTTCGCATTCAACAATAAGATCTAAATATACAGAACATTAAAACGGAATTTATCGTTGACGACATCGGATTTCTCAATTATTGTCTAGGAGCCGATAAAATGAATTTTTTTCAACTTTAAGCAATAAATGTTCCAGTTTCTGTATAAAATTTTCAAACATCTTGATACTAGAATCTAGTTTTAAAGAGTGGAATTTTAGAGAGTTAAATTTTGCACAACATAAACTATTACAAGCGTCTATCTTACTAATTGATAAGGCTAGACATCCAACTTTCTTCCTAACCTCAGTTACTTCTTTTACCAACAGCTTCGCTTAAACTTCGCGTGCTTTCAAACGTTCCATGCGTACTTCTTCCACAATATCGCACAAAAGTATGCAATCTGCGCAAAATTTAACGCTAAAACTGTTAAAAAACAATTGCATAAAAAATCAGTCGCATAAAGATCGTTGCAAATCAGATTTCAGTATCAATTTTTTGGATAATCTGTCCACAAACTACACCTTTACTGAAAAAATGAGTAAATTAAAAAAACTCTCATGAAATTCATAGAGGAGTTCGAATGAAAACCTAACGTCAGGTATTGCCCCTACCTATGGCATAATCTCAATATTTTTACGGACTTTCGTTCTAGCGAAGTTTTTTCGTTCTAAAGTCACTTTGTCTTTTGCCGTGACAATTAAAAGAAACCCATGAAAAAGCGAGACATTTCTGAGTGATATTTTTTTACGTGAATTCAATGCAATTTGATGAAAACAAATTGTGGATAGCTCTGAGATATATTGAATTCTTGAAAAAACTGAAAATTCTTTTATACACAAATCAACTGTTATCTGTCTATTAGGGGACAAAAAAAATAAACAATAAACTCTCTTCCAATAAGCTTTGCGTATACAAGGGAAATAACTGTTTACGTATTTCTTCAGTCGATAACGACAATCACACTGCTTTTCTTCGTCATAAGGAAGATTAACGGGAAAATAAATGAAACTCTAGTCATTCTCTCATTTCTTGCCTCAATAAGAACCAAAAACTTTGTCGATCATTCTATTTTAGAACGGTATTTCAGATAATTTATATCCATTCTGCAACATACTTTTAAACCATGGGCTTAGGTTTTTCCAGATCCGAATTTCCTGTTAGTTTCTACAGAATTCTCTTAAACAACAAAAAATCGAAAAGACAAAATTGTTTAAACTTTTTGTTTTCACTTAATGATCAGTTTTTGTACCCACTGTTCATCGATCTGTAAAAAAAAGTCATAAGAACCTGATATCCGTGTTTATAACTGGTAATTTTAAATTTATATATATGCCATAGATTGACATGCACAAGATAAGTTTAATTACACTTACCACCTTCATTAAATGATATTTCATCACTTTCCGTTGCTTCATAATTGTATAATGCACGAACTTTCATATTAGAAGGTGGTCCACCAACATGGGAGTTTCCTGAATGATGATGATGCTCTTCTTCGTGATCATATTTTTGTTCATGATGATGATGATTATTGTTACTATTATTCTGTTGTTGATATTGATGCGAATCCTGATATTTTTGCTGATGTCTGCCACCGTTCTCAGAATTAATATTTGAAGATGATATCATTGTTGGATGATAGACGCTGTTTTTGTTTGTACCTTGCGGTTCAAATTCTAAACAGATTGAGTCTGTTAACAATCTTACTCAGAATAATGACATCCTTTAAATTACTTGTAGCGTGTAATGCTTTCGATGTTGGTTCATACCCTCTCATCAACGAACCACGATCATCATTTAATGGGTCATAGTCAGCGACTAATAATAATAATAATAATACAAAGAACGATGAAAAATATAAAGTAAATGGCATGAGAAATTCTTACCTCTTCCTACTGATGCAGTACTATCACCTCCGCCTTTTCCATTCTGGTAAAGAGAAGAAACTGGATAATGATGTACTGACTGTTGTTGAGATGTTTGATGCGGATGATGTTGTTGCTGATTGTCTAAAAGAAATAATTTGTTACAAACTTTGTTCAAAGTACAAACCACTATGAATGTACAGCAGTAGTAGTATTAATCGACATACCATGAATTAATTGCGTTGAACTATCTTTTCGTTTTCCTGTGTATTCGGCTTGACTGACAACGCGTTGATGTTCTTTAGCTCGAATTGTTGCTGGATCATCGGATACAGCAGTAAATTTGCCTTTATTTTTATTAAAATCTTCATGATATTTAACCTTAAATCGAAAAAAAAATTATAGAAATATTCCATTCATTTTGCTTTAGACCAAACTCTTATTTTATGCTAGCGTTTTTTAAGTAAGAACAAATATCTAAATGACTTGAAGATTAAATTTGCATTGAAAATAATCAGAAATTTTTCAAGCAAATAATCTTCACAAATACTAATTTTGAACATTTCATAAAATATTGACATTTACATACATTGCTTTGAATATCAGTCAGTTGTTTTATTCTTTGCATTTCTGGATTGTCGACTACCACGGTTGGCTTTTGTTGTGGGTAATGACTAAAATGAAAACAAAATAATTCAAATAGAAACATTTCAACATTAGAGTTAAATTAATACAAAAATATGAAATGACCTATCTTCAATTATTGTAAAGCACATCTTTGATTACTTACACATTACAATATGGTAATTTTTCGTAGCCCTTCACATTTTTAACATTCAATGTCATGCCACAGACACTGCATTTGAAACAAGCCTTATGCCAAAACTAGAATAGAACAAAAGAATAACCAGAGTAATTATAATAGAGTTAAAGTTAGATACTTTAGTTCCGTATTTTAATTTTATTTCAATTTTAAATTTAACAAAACAACAAACGTTTCGACCTCTTTTAATTGAGGTCTTCTTCAGTGTACGTATTAAAATATATAAAAATATAAAAGCAGTCACTCTACATTTTAAATCTGAACAAGTTATATAAAATAGAATTTTAACTATATTTTATATTTTATATTTTTATATATTTTATTACGTACACTGAAGAAGACCTCAATTAAAAGAGGTCAAAACGTTTGTTGTTTTGTTAAATTTAAAATTAAAATAAAATTAAGATACGGAACTAAAGTATCTAACTTTAACTCTATTATATATCTAGCCCGTATCGACCAATAGTTTTACTCTCAGTAATTATGAGAAATAAATAAGTCAATAAGCAAGCAGCACACCATGCTGTTTAATGGATCAGTTGATGCTGTTTACTTTTACATTTTCGATTAAAAGTAGATGATGAAGCTATTTTAGATGATATACACACAAAACACAATTAGTTCTTACCCTACACGCTCACATAATTTCACTACACAGACTGTAAAATGAAAGACTCAAAAACTAAAACAAAAAAGAGTTGCTCTTCTCACCTTATCTAAACATTTCAATTCTTCTGTTGGATACACAACCTGCAAAGAGAAAAAAGATTTATATTGAACAAAACAATGAGTCTAGACGAGCATACCTTCTCACATTTGCCACATTTCTTTTGCACAGATGTTAGATTGGACATGATTTTAATTTCCAGAAAAAAATAATCTTCGAAACAAAGAGAACACACAGATGGATGAAGTACTCTTAAGATCATTGAACATAGCTAACAGAAGACGCTGTCATCGATATTCAAAAGAGGCTCTAAAATGACCTAAGAATTCGTGTAAGAGCACTTTAACTTATAACCACTATGTAGTAAACCAGGAAAAAAGCCTTGTTTCACAAAAAAAGCAGTGACATTTTTTGAATACAGGCAGGTCCTTGAATAATAGTAGAGAAAACCTCTGAGCAGTGATTGAATAAACAAACATTGTAGACATCACACTCCATGTACATCAGCATTGCTCAATAATGATAGGCTTGTGATCAAACCATTGTTTGAGAGCATGAGCGCCACATGTTTCTTTCACTATTTGCGACAATTAAAGCGCATATAGCTATTGCGAAAAGAGGTACTTCTTATATTTATATCGAATTTTTTTTCAGAATCAATAAGGCAAAGTTGTATTTATAGTTTGTCAGGATGAAAGCCAATAAAAAATTTGACGCCATCTTTGTTCACAAAGGCCAGGATAAATAATTTTTCAGGTTTATGTCTATCACTCATTTTCTAGGATGATTAACCTTGTAGAGAAAATAGAGAACTTTGAACTGCTCAGTTTAACAACGAGCGTACGAATAACGCATTTCATATCAATTGAAAAGAGTTTCCTTGTAAAGTGAACATCTTCGTGCCACTATGAAATTTTAAGGAAACAAATCGTGAATAGTAAAAATGTAAAAATTGCTTCAAAAACTATCCAGATCACTCTTTCTCTCATTTCACACCGCGTTTTATCGAATTAGTAACTAATAGCATAGTTTACCTGTTAGTATTGTTTATTTTTTTTTATACGGTGTGACTTAGTCAAAGTTCTTTAGAACTTTTTTGTCATCCCTGTTATTTAATATCGTGACTTTAAAATAAAATTGTTATGTTAATTATTTTACTATTTACGATATGTTTCGTCAAAATCGCAGAAGGGCACCTGAGAATGTTCTCTCGTTAGTCGAGTATACATTCCTTTTGTCAAAATTTCACGGGTATTTGTAATATCTGACTAAATTTGTCTTCCTAACTCCGTTGGCTATTATGTGATCAACAATATCTGAATCGTATACCACAATAACAGAAAATTATAGAGAAATATCATTTTCATACTTATTTTTTATTCTAGATGTTTTTATTCAAACTAATTCGTTCTAATTCTTACTTATTAAATTTGTACCGTTTATCTTCTTCGTCATCGTCTGCTGCAAACAGTTATTGTTCTCGTAGTCATATATTAAGTGAATTAACTCCTTCTCATGTTAATCAAACGGTTTCATTATATGGCTGGCTCCAATATAAACGTTTAAATTTTATTGGTGTTATTCGTGATTATTCTGGCTCTCTGCAATTTATAATTCCATCCTCTCTATCCAAATGTCGTTCATTATTAAAACAAACGTCTCTCGAATCATGCATCCATCTTAATGGTGTGATACGTTTACGTCCTGAGAATCAAATTAATCCTCAGATGAAAAGTGGTCAATTAGAATTGCATTTAGATGATTTCACCGTTATAAATCCATCGTTGCCTCAATTGCCTATTGACTTGTCCCAATATCATCATTCCGATGAATATGTCAGATTGAAATATCGGTATTTAGATTTTCGTCAACAAATAATGCAGCATCGAATACGGTATCGTTCAGAATTTGTTTCTAAAATTCGTACTTATTTATTAAAACATCATTTTGTCGATATAGAAACACCAACATTGTTTCGACGAACACCTGGGGGTGCCAGAGAATTTATTGTTCCGACACATATGAATGAAGGAGGATTATTTTATTGTTTAACTCAAAGTCCACAACAATTTAAGCAATTATTGATGATTGGTGGTTTTGATAGATACTTTCAAATTGCGAGATGTTACAGAGATGAAACAGGTTAGTGTTTGGTTGGTGTGAACTAGACAGTTGGGTGTAGAAATATAAGATTAATCTCATGTTTCGGTACATTATGTGAATGAAATGGTATTTTGTTTCTTTACAGGTCGTCCTGATCGTCAACCAGAGTTTACTCAAGTTGATATTGAAATGAGTTTTATTCGTCGTGAACATATCTTATTATTGATTGAAGAACTATTGTCAGATTGTTGGCCTGATAAAGTGTCATATCCGTTTCCTCAGCTCACCTATCGCCAGTGCATGGATCGTTATGGAACAGATAAACCCGATACACGCTTTAAATTTGAAATTGAACATGATACAGCGAATAAACAATTATCAATATGTTTACCTAAAGAATATAGTTCATTATTAAAAGAGGAAGACTTCAGCTTGATGAATGAACGTTTTATGAGAGTAACGAATGAAAATGATCAGATTTGCTTTACAATTACTCATGAACTGAATAATAAAGATGAATGTTTATCACTCTTGGGTAAGCAATAGTGTTAGCTGTTTTGAACGTTCTTATTTTTATTTGCAAGACGTTTGTTTGGTTTACTTAGGATCTTTACGTCTATCATTAGCAAATGTGTTAGAAAAAAAGTACAATGTTAAATTACGGTCTCGTCGTCAGTGGAGTTTCTTATGGGTTACTGATTTTCCGCTATTCACCTATGATTCACAGACATCTTCTCTCGAATCGACTCATCATCCATTTACAGCTCCTATTGATGAACATCTAGCTATATTAGATAATCATCCCTTAGATATTATTGGTCAACATTACGATCTTGTATTGAATGGTTATGAAATTGGCGGTGGTTCAATCCGAATTCATAATTCAAAATTACAACGTCACATTCTAGAAAATATATTACATATAGAGAGTGACCATTTAGAACATTTATTACATGCACTCGAGTACGGTGCACCTCCTCACGGTGGAATTGCTCTCGGTTTAGATCGGATATTAGCTATTCTATTAGAAACGGAACATATCCGAGATGTTATACCATTTCCAAAGACATCGATGGGAAAAGATTTGATGGCAAATGCACCAAGTGAAATAAGTAAACAGGAGTTAGACTGGTATTACTTAAAAGTAAATAAAAAAGTTTCTCCAAGTTGCCCTAACGGGTAAAAATGTGAAAACTCTTACTCTTAAGTTCTAAGAAAATACTAATGAAATATCGTAAAAGAACTGATTAGTATGCATAAAGGAACAAGAAGTATTATGTGGTTTTTTCCTTTTTTTTACTTCGAAATTCAATGTTATAAACGCTCCCATATACTTCACACCACAACACTTAGAGAAAGGCAAGTTATGAAACAATTACAAAAAATAAACAGACAGACCGTGTTGTCGTTTTCTTTGCTTTTCAGGTGAATTTATTCTGCATGAACAAGCAGAAAGTTTTCATTAAACTATAGGTATGACAAAAGTCACAATTATAATCTACACTCAGCTTAGTTTCTACAGCAGAATGTGCCGGGTGTCAGAGAGGAAGGAGGGAGAAACAAAAAGTGTAAAAACGTTAGTAATCCAGCAAAACGTTCCTTTAAACCTCAGACTTCAGTTTTCCTTCTTATAAAAGAAATGGGCTGAAAGAATAACAAAATATTAAAGATGAAGGAAAACAAAGCCACAATAGAATGTTAGAATTATATGTTGTTTCTCTAGTAAAATTTTATATAATAAGGGTTTATCTTTTGTTAGTTATTTAACTTTTCCCCATCTTAATGGCATAATCAGGATTTTGTTACAAGGAAGTAATCTCAATTACAGACTATCAAAGGTAGTGTAAATTTTTTTTGAATTTTAACAAAAAATGCATTGTGAATTGTTAACAAATTCTTCACAATCTCACATTGGGACTTTCAGTTATTAGTACAAACATTATTGTAAATGCTACTCAACTTACAAAACAACCTGTAATTCGTCCTAATGATTCATATATGATCAGCTGTATAGGCTTTAAAATAAACATCCTTCTAAAACCATGAATATAGAAGACGTACACCAGAGTGGATCAGCTCTCTTCTTGGTTACGTATTACTATATTTTTAATGCATCTACAAAAAACGTCAGTTTTACCGTTAAAAGTTTATTTCATTACTTTTAAACAGAATAAAATATGCCAAATTATCAGAAATTTTATTTATTGTTTACTTTTATGTTTATGTGTATTTTGTATCCCACTAGTGAAAATTATTGTTTTTCACTCTACTTAAAGGTAAAGTTTTCTTTCTTTTATATGAATATTTTAAGTAAAAAACAAATTTCTCTACTAAAGTAGAACAATTGACGAAACGAAATTTTTGTTTTTTTCATATATCAAATGCGTCTACTTGGCTCTTCTTTCTTTTCTTTTTTACATACAATACTTGTTTAATAATTTGTTTCAGATGTCGACTCCATTTAGTATCGGTACTATTGTACAGGATGTTAATAAAATGAAACTGGCTGTCACGGGTACAAATAGTCCCTGGTCTTCTCCCACATCATTTTCATCGTCCAAATATCGGCAAACAGCAACAAATAATTTGAACACAGACAAATTGTTTGCTCAAAAAATTGATACATCCTCATTATTTTCAAAACAAAATTCAATTAATTTTACAAATCTCGAACAAAAATTAGCCAGTTTTGAATCAAATATTTTAAAAATACCATCGACAACAACAACAACCACAACAAATTATCGTCCAAAATTGAATAATGAATTAGAATTAGATGCTTTTTTAAAAAGTGAACGAGCACAATATAATGATAATGAGTTCAATTCACTTGTACAACAGGTGAGACATACTTTCTTGCTCCTCTCTATAGCTTGAATTGATCGATGTCATTTTATAGTGAAATGATCATTTTTTTTTTCTAGCTTTATACATCTTTTCTTATTTCCACTAATATTTGAAGAATTCATCTTTATTTTAGACTTTTTTTAAAGCCGACACTGACTATTGGGAACATACATTTAAACATAGTTGTGAAGAACGACGAAATTTAATCAATTGTTTACTATCTGATGATTTGCGACCGAAAACAAGTGATCACTCGAAAGTAAATTTTCCTAAGACTATTACGTTCGAGACATACTATACTATTGTTGTTTTTTTATTTATTTCTAGACGAGTCAATATGATAATCGTCTTAGTGATACCGTTGTTAAAACTAATGAATTACGTCCAATAAATGATTCTAGAGGATTTGATTTTTCAACTGTAAGCCCTTTCATATTGCTTTTCTATAGGACATATTTGTTGTTTATTGTGTTAATAGTATTCTGAATTTTTCAGTTAAGAATATTTTATTGATTTATCTATTTAGACTTGGTCAGCAAATCGTTCAAATATTCCAAATGATTTAACTCACATAGAACAACAATATGCAAATACAGTAAGTTATTTTTCTATTTTTATAATATAAAATTCTGTTAGTATTTTGTTTGTGTTAGTATAGATTATTAAATATAATCAAATTAATTCGCGTTCTTCAACATTGCCTGGTGATGATTTAATTCAACAATATAAAATTATTGCAAAATCTTATGAACAACAAGTAAAAAAAAAAGAGAAATTTTATTCTATTTTGTTCTATCTTTCAAAATTATTTCTTTTAATTAGGCTGTATCCGATTTATGGCATACAACTGAATGGATGTCACATGTTCTTGATTATAATTATAGAAAAACTGATCCATATTTATCACAAAAAGCAATTGTTCAATGTTCGAAAGAATATCTTGAAAGAAGGTGATACTATTAAACTCTTTATTTCTTTTTTTCACATTATTGATAAATTTTGCAAAAAAACGACAAAAAAAAATTTTTTTTTACTCGTATTTAATTATTCAAATTAAATACAAATGTTAGATTTTATACTATTGTATGTTTTAGTTTTCGTCAAGCATTAGAAACAATGTATAGTGATTTAGTTCAATCAACAACTGGTGCAGTGTCGGATGATTCAACAATGTTATACAGTTGTATTATTCATTTTATACAAGCAAATGATAAAAATTCAACGATGTTAGCAGCCGATGCACGTTAGCTTTTTATTTGTTACTAGTGATTTTTTATTTTAATTTAATTTATTTTTGAATTTTATTTTTTCAGGATCGTCTTGTCGACAATGTATCAGTATGGCCATTAATATTTTATTCATTAAGAAGTGGTAGTATTGATTTGGCACGTGCAATTATTAGTAAAGCAAAGTAAAAATATATTTTTTTGTTCTTAATTTCGGGTTGGCCAAACTGTTACGGAATTTCATTTTTTTCGTCTTTTGTGCCCCTTATCTTGGCAAAGAAGCAACGTTTATCAATGAAATTTATACCAATGATGGATATTAGGGAATTCTACTACCAAAAATAATTTAAGCTTGATTGAACAAGCGGACCAAAAGTTGTAGTCAAAATAGAGGATGTTACGGAACTTCAAAAAATGAAAGTATTTTTTGGCGTATTTTAGTAAAATGTAAATTATTCCACCTAAAGTTAATTTTAAAATGATTGCTTAATTACCAAATTAAAGCTCACAGTTTGTGGTATCAGAATCACTACTGACTTTTTCTTGAATTGGTTTCTTGGCAAAGGAAATCGAATAAAAGTGACCGTTGTGGAATTTCACCGTTTTTTGCTCTTCTTTGCAGATAGTTTGGTATATATTTTTTCTGTCACAGAACTACTTAGCAAGCTCTGATTTTCACATAGATAGATAGTTTGAGATGTCATTCATTCCATTCAATCAAAAATAAATTTTCAAAGTTAGATTATATTGACATAAAATTGCTCACAAAATAAGCACGAAAACTTTTTCTAGAAAAATAAATTTTTTTTGGCATCTAAACGTCAAACAAATGAGCCCTTTGGCAGAGGATTTGATTCTGGTATAGTTTTCAGAATTTTTGAAAAAAGTATTTAGATCACGAAATTAAATTTATTTAAAAATTTAAATTCTCACCACGAAGATTTGACTTTCATTTGTTTTTGAATTCAGATTTGTAATCATCGTGAAAAACTGCGTCTAATGATGTATTTTTAAGTTTTACTCAAGTTAAAATAAAAATTCGAACCTTTTCATCCGAAGATGGACCGGACCGCTAGCTGCTCGCCGATTTATAAAATATGGCATTATTTTTCTTTTAGTTTACCACATTTACGAACATTATTAGAAAATTATCTATCAAATGATTTACAATCATCTTCAACAAAATTGAATACAACAACAATGTCAGCATCAGGCAAATCATCCGATATTCGAAATATTGAATATAGTCTTGTAGGCAATCCTTACAAACGGTATGTTAATAAAACTAAGTTTTAATTTAGATGTTAGAATAATTAATATTTCAACGTTATTTTATAGTGCCGTTATTTGTCTTCTCGATCGTCAAAATTTAATTGATGCTCATGAAGATGTGTTACTATGCGTTGAAGATTTTCTATGGATTAAACTCTCACAAATTCCAATAACAAATGAAAGTTTAATTTATGATCGTACACAATTATCAATACCAAGATTACAACGATGGATTATTCGAGATTTAGGTAATTCGAGATTTTCTATTATTTCTTCTTTTTTTTTTTTTTCATTTTTTAATGTTGATATTGTTTTGTTTTTTTAGGCGAAGATTATTTTAGAGCATCAGAGTATCCTTATCGTTATTGTCGTTTACTCATATTATGTGGTGCATTTGAATCGGCTGTAGAATATCTGTTTAAACAATCGTTAACAAAAGTACATTCCATTCATCTTGCTCTATATTTACATGAAAAATATTTGATTGGCTTAGCATCATCTGTTGATGATTGTCTACTAATGACAACAACTAATACTACAAAAGATCGTTTAACATTACTAAATTTAACAAAATTATTAGAACTTTATATATCAAATAAATTAATAAATCGTCAACGACAATGGGAAATATTAAATTATTCTTATATATTAAAAAATATAGAAAATTTAGATTATACTAATGAATTTATAAGATTATTAATTGATAATTTAACAAATATCGACGATTTACGTACTGTATATGGCCGATGGACAAATACGTTAAAATATGAAACAGGTTTACTTCATAAACTTATCTCTGATTCAGATGAAGTTGATGAATTAATTCATCATATAGCTGAAACATATGAACAACAAAAATCGACTCAAGATCGTAGTTTAATTGTATCATGTTATCTATATGAATTAGCTAAAGATTATAAAAAAACACTCAAACGTTTGATGTCAATTATATCAAAAATAATTCTTGATAAATTAACAACACATGAAAATACAGTAAACACATCTGATGGACATAAAGAAATTAAACCATTGAATAATCTTACACAAATACCTATTTATGCTTACGAATTAGCTCAACGTTTACAAGTTCTTAAAGAACAGCAACGTGAAGAAGAGAATGAATTAATCACATCATATTTTCTTCTATTAGATTTAAATTCATATTTTGATTATTATTTATCTAAACAATACGACCAAGCATATCTTATTATTAGACAATTAGATTTATTACCGTACGATACTTCAAATCATGACAGAATAAAACAACGAGTATTCATCGCAGAAGATTGTGTAAGTACTATACAATTGATCGTAAAAAGAAATTTAATTTAAATTTATTGTCATTTATTTTAGATTCAACAATTGATTCCTCATGTATGTTTATCAGCCATGCATGTTCATATGATTGTGTTACAACAACAACGTGAAAATTCAAGAAACTATTCAACATTATTGTCTTCGTCAACGCGATCAGTGACTTCAACTACTTTAAATGATGAAGAATTAGAACGTTATTCTGTTTATATTCGAACGGCGCCAACAAATCTATTAAAGATAGCTGATTTTGCCCGATTATTGCCCAATACGTTTACAAGATTACAATTAAAACAAATAGAAAATTATTGTGAACAAATAAACCAATTTTTTAACTTCTAATCAAACATGTTCTCTGTTGTTATTTTTTTGTTGCTCTAATTTTGTTTAAAAAATAGATGTTATGTAAAATACAAATAGAAAGATCGCGAAATTTTGTGGTCAATGAGAATAGAATTTTAATTTGAAGAAAGATATAATCGTTTTTTCAAAATGTGTATCATCATTTATAAACCGTTCTTACTCCTTCGCAATAATTTTTCATTTATTGTCGAAAAATCTATGAGAAATGTCAGTTTCAAAAAAAAGTTTTCATGTCATGCATATCTTCGCACAGATTTACATAATGTCATAATAAATACAATGGGTAAACACAAAAGTCATACTGGCAATTCAGATGTGGAACCAGTGCGATGTTCTTTTATTTATTGCATAAAACTCTCTATGTGGATTTATATAATTATCTATTGTCTCTTATTTTCTCATCAAAAAATTTTTGCAGAGCAATCAGGCAAGCAGGTGTCTGATGAGCAGATATTCCAGAGATTATCGATTCGAATGTGGATCTATCCATGTGAACAACGAGAGAATAATGGAACAAACATGAAATATAATCTGTAGCTGCCATCTGTATATCTATAAAAAGTATACTGTTCTTCACCAACAACCAAGTGATACCTTTCGATTTCGTTCGTTCATACGTCGGCCGATAGAGAGTTTCGAGCTAGTAAAAAGCTTAAAAGGATTTTTCCCCATGACTCTTGAAGACCCGATTTCCTGGAAAACCAGTCTTTCAGAAACTCTAAAAATAACCAAACCTTTCTTAATAAGGTATAATTGTAGCGCGCAAATTTCTGATTAAAATGAGACACCTCCCAGCTCTACACGACTTTTCTTTGCAAAGTTACAGAATTTACAAGAAAAGCCCAAAATTAATTTTTTTCTTCTTACTTCTGTACCTTTGAGCTGACATTTCTTGTATATCCTATAACTTTGCAAGAAAGGTCATGTAGAGCTGGAAGATGTCTCATTTTAATCAGAAATATGCGTGCTACAATTATGCCCCATTAAGAAAGGTTATGATTATTTTTAGAGTTTCTGAAAACTAGTTTTCCAGAAAGTCGGATTTTCGAGAGTCATGGGGAAAAATCCTTTTAGCCTTTTTGCTGGCTCGATACTCTCTACCGATCGACGTATGAACGAACTAAATCGGAAGGATCACTTGCATAGGTTTCCTCGTAAGATCAAGATTTATTCTTAACATAAAATCACCACAACGAAAAACTGTTTGTTTGTAAATCTAATTATCCGTTGAGACCGATTAGATCGACATGTAACGCGCCTAGTTGCGCTCTTTCGAAATTTCTTGCTGAATTATGAAAACAGTGTGATAACACATCTAAATTATACATCAAAGATGCATTTGAATTAGTAAAATTATTAAAACAAAAAATAGTTGGAGAAAAAGAGCAATTTATAAGTTTCGATGTGAAATCACTGTATCCAAGTATACCTGTACAGGAAGCAATTGAAATTGCGGTCAATAAGATCTGGCAATAAAATAAGAAAACAAAATTCATAAAAATAACAAAAACAGAATTATTCATCTTATTCAACTTAGCATCGAGGAACGTCCAATTTCGTTTTTATCATCAGTACTTTAGACAGATTGATGAAGTATCAATGGGAAGCCCATTAGCTCCAATTCTAGCCAATTTATTTATGGAAGCACTAGAAAATAAACATGTACTTAAATCAAAATATGACTCCATAATTAAGCTATGCATCAGATATGTCGATGACGTGTTAGTTATATTGAATGCAGACATTAATGATGCATTAGTGTTACTAGACAATTTAAATAAAATGCATCCAAACATCAAATTTACCTTTGAAATAGAAAAAGAAGGGATGCTGCCGTTCCTGGATGTTTTAATCAAAAAAGAAAATGGAAAATATGAAACATGTGATTATAGAAAGAGTATAAATACGAATCTATACATATAGCGTTAGTAAAATCACTCGTTATTCGAGCAGTACAAATTTGTTCTAATCAACAATTACTAATTTCGATTAATTTCACACAGATTTATAGATGTGTTCTCGTTACAGAATAGAAGAAATTTAAATTAACTAGTTTCTAGAGAGAAAATGAAAATTTCTTCTATTCTGTAACGAGAACAGATTTAAAAATCTGTGTGAAATTAATCAACGGATAGTAAATCGTGTAAACACGATTTACTATCCGTTGATTAATTTCTATTTTAATTGTTTTTTTTATAGAAAAGTATAATTTTTGCTATAGAGGATTTACTGTCCGTTGATTACATAAAAATGTATTCCAATAAGCCACTTTTTTATATAGATATATACTTTCCACGGATTATTTGGACGAAAAGCAATGAATGAGCAAATGAATATTCATTGCGACAACGAATAAATTTCCGAGCGGAACAAACATTCATCAATAAAGGAACGATGAACCAAATTTTTAATTGGGAACGAGTAATGTTCAGTAACTCTAGATACTGAATAATGAGAAATGCTGAGAAAGTAGAGCAATAATCACGATTTTTAACGTAGTTACTTATTTGGGAACTAGAGTAGTCGTCAACATGATAACCTTTGTAGGACTACCCGTTTCAGAAAGCTGTGAAAGCAAACTGATGCGAAGATCGTGCGTAGATTTTTTGTTAGTTTTCTCAAACGGACGTCTGGCCTACACTAGGAATCGTCCGTGTTCTGGACCAAACATGTCTGAAGCAATGTTTGAGGTCCTGTTAAGCAGTCATGGCAGCTATAAACCAAAGAACAATAACAAACCAAACAATCAAACAATTTAAGTTCAAGTCAACATCAGTTATACGACATATTTTCAAACAGTTGTGATAAAAATATGTGAACTTTTTGATATTACCCAAGCAAAAACGACCCAATTTTTTGGGTTATTTATCTAGATTCAGGTCCACGTACATCTAGATGCACGTGGACCTGAATCTAGATAAATAACCCAAAAAATTGGGTCGTTTTTGCTTGGGTAATCACGTTGAAGAAAATAAAAAGATTATTTCAACAATTATTTGTAAATATACTATGAAAAGAAAAAGTAATTTCGATGGTTAGCACAAACGAGCTGATGACTGAAGAGAAGAAGAATATAATACAGTTGTGCTAAACATATCTGAATTAAAACAAAGACTAGAAACTTCTTTTCTTCCTTTTAGTTTTATGTTTTTTACAAAAAGTTCGATAGAACTTAATTGTATGTTGAAACAAAGCTGTAAACATGACTCGAATATGCTCTCGTTATGACACCGCGATTTCTGTACGATGACGACGGGACAATAGCGAATGAACCGCGATCACGACGCAACAGTAGCGAATGAACCGCGATCGCTACGCGGCAATACGAATGAAGAGAATCAATCAATGATAATCGCGATTTTTTTCGCGAGAATCTTAGCGATCGCGTAGCGCGTTCACGGCCCGACTTTTTATCGCGAGCCGCGCTGCGACTTCAGCGTGACAGTCGACCTGAGCTGTCGTACCGTCATTTCGAAATTAACATAATACGAAATATGCGAATTACACAGGACTCGGAAGGTCGAGTACAGGCGAACAGATCTTCAGACACCAGAAACTGTCTATAGCCTTCGTCTCACAGAGTTAAGACATACAAAAACTGTAGGAACCAGTAATTTTAATAGAAGTTTTTTTCATGATGAATTTTTCCATAATGGAATGAATGTCACAGTGAAAATCTGCAATTCTATCAAAATCGCATAAACCGGCTTTTTTTTCACATTAGCTGCAGCAAGTAATTTTCCTGAAAGTTTTAAAACTGAGTGCTTGGGTTTTTTTTG